TAAAATATTAACTTTATATATAGTTAAAATGATTTTTGAAATAATAATTTTTATAAATTTTAATTTTTTAATGAGTATTTAATTGATATAATTTTACAAGTTAAAATGTATAATAAAATCATTTTGAAAATTAAAATGTTTAATAAGTGTAATTTAATAAATTGAATTATTTAATAAGTCAAAATAGAAGTTCATAGTATCACAAAGATAAACTAACAAAGTTTAAGGATGAAGGATGAAGTTATGTATTTGGCCTTTTCTTATTTGATTTTCTGCAATAAATTTTTTATTCTTGAAGAAGATCCTCAGCTTATTGTAGATTTGTACTCAAACCCTAAAATTTAACATGAATTACTAATTCATCCTTTTTTAATAAATACATTAAGAAGTGTAATATTTATTATTAATTTTTAATAGAAAAGCAAAGCTCGCCAATGAGTCAAAATTAATTTTAAATTAAGTGGCGAGGCAAGTAAAACCAATAAATAGATATTTGCAAACGATAAACTTGAGATTGCTCTTAGCCTAGTCACAAAATTCAGTAAAGAAATCTATTTAAAATATATAGTTTACAAAAATAACATATATTATAAAATAAATATAAACAACACTAATTTTTTAAAAAAGAAAATAAACTATTGTAATTAAGTTACGATAAGTCTTGCCCATTTTTCATCGACTGAAATTTACTCATAATAATTTTATTATTAATACTTGTAAATACGTCTTTTTCAATAAACATTCATTCGGTGGCGCATCTTTCAATTTATTACGAAGTGAACTTTTGTGATGATTTATGATTTGATATGAATAAAAAATTCATGCTTTTTATAACAAAATTAATTAATATGTTAAAATACTACGATTAGATTGGATACAATGTGCAATTGGGTAGAACAGTACAATTTAAAATTAATTTGCTAAACTCTCTATATTGCAATTTACTACGTTCAATGTTGTAGTCATTAGCCCCTAAAACCATCCAGAATCTTCATATATATATAAGTAAGTATATATTTATGATTTTAAATAAAACAAATAAAAAAAATTTTAAACTTAACATTTTTTATTTCTATACATTAATTAAAAATAATATATTATTATTATTATTATTATTTACGAAACAAAGTGTTCCAATCTATATCTGTACTATATATAAAAGCAAAGAAGTCCATTTCAAATGACAGCTAAGTGTAAATCTCTCGAATTGAAGGAGAAAAATTATTTAGCATAATTGTAAGAAGATAAGTTGTAATGACAGCAATTTTAAAAAGATAAATTATTTTATATTTTCAGATAATGTCATATAAGTAGAAAAAAGAAAAGAAAACTAAATTAATATGAATAAGCAAAACCTATTTTATTAGGAAATTAGAAAGAAATACAAGCAAAAAGAATTTCAATAATTTTCCGTTCAAATTAAAAAAGAAAATAAAAAACTATAAAATTAATTTGTACAGAAAAATTTAATTTAATTTTTCTTTTATATCAAAAACATGAGTAACATAAGTTTTTTCTTTTCTCTATTAATCTTATTTTTATTTTATATCCAAAAAAATAAGCAACATAAGGTTTTTGGAAAAAAAAAAATTTAGTTCCTTGTTATTTTTTATAATCATTCATTAATAAAAAGAGACACAAAAATAAATTTAAAAAATACTTCATTTTTTCTTGGTAATAAAACTTTGATTGATTAGTTTGGTGTATGGAGTAGTATCATATATCAGGAGTTAGGTTGCACAGATACGGGACATGAGATATAGGAACGTACGTAATACGATAATTTTTTAAAAAAGGACATCCATACTCTTAAAACACATTACACTAAATAAGCATAATATATTAATATTTCAAATAAATAAATAATTATTTATAATAAATCATAAACATAAAATAAAAATAAACATAAAATAAAAAATACTTAATTTATTATTTTAATATAATTAGTTAAATTCTCAGAATTATTATCACGATTGAAAAATTTATGCATTTTTTTATGCAGATCATGTTAGGTGTGTCAAAATAGGTTTTGACACGTGAACATGATTCGCTTAATACGCGAAATACATGGGTTAGGGTTGAGATTAAACGGGTTCGTGTTGTGGGTTGATACATAAATTAGGCAAGTGATCCGTTTATTAAAGAGTAAAGAAGTAATTTTAGTGTTAAATATAAATACTTTAACTGAAACCTATTTAAATTTTATTGTTGTATTACTTTTTTTTTTTTTTAGTTATGAATCTTGAAGAATTTATGCATTTTATGTATGAAAATTTATTTTTAAATACGATTGGAGTTAAATAGGTTAAAATTTAAAAATAAATACGATTGGAGTTAAATAGGTTAAAATTTAAAAATATTATAAGTAAGTTAATGCGCGTATATAGGTCAACACGATCCACGTAACATGTTTATTAAGCGGGTTACACGAGTTGTATATTGGTCAACATAACCAACTTAACTTATTTATCATACTAGGCCGGTTAAACGTTTCGTGTTCATATCACCTGTCTAATTTCCGTGCCGTGTTTATGTTGATAAATTTAATACAATTACTAAAATAGTAGTATTTGTATTAACCATAATCGTGTCATGTTTTATGCGAATCCGTATTGAACTTAACACGCTAACCTATTTTGACAACCCTAGGTCATATCATGCATGGCTTTTGCGATTATAGACCTCGGTAAAAGGATACTTAACAAAACAATCTTAGCATTACAACTTTTTTATTTTTACCATATCTCAATGAGATATAATTTTTTTAATACATCACACAATCATTTTATTATACAATTTTATTATTTTTGAATGATGTTATAAAAAATTATTTCATCATTTAATATTGCTCTGGGCATCACGCAGATTCCAGCACTAGTAATACTAATATCAAAGAATTTAATTCTAAACAAAAAAATAAAAAATTCTTACCAAGTTCAATACTTTTTTTTTTAGATTCATAACAATTAAATTGATTCATTTACATTAAATTTATTTATTTAATTATTTTTTCTTTATAATTTAGGTATAAGGGAAACTAATTAATTTTATGTCTTCTAAAATCACTTATAACGAAAATATTTGCAATGCCATCAAAATGTATTTGAATTTATATATAGTTTATTAAATACATAAACAGGGAAATACTTAATTTAAATTTTTCTTAAATATTTATTTTTAATTGAATTTAAATAATATCATATTGAAGTATTTTATAAGAAAGGTTTTAATTATTTTTGTTATTTTTGGATTTAAAAACATTCCTTAAGATAATAAATTTATTAGAATTTTATTAATGGAAAATTATTATTTGCGTTCTTGAGGTTTTACAAAATTAATTAACTCATATTCACATTTTTGCATATTAAATATCTAGTTCCTAGAATTTGGTTCCATCATGTTTAAGTGGTTATTCCATCCAAAACAATTGTTTTTTTCGTTGAATTAGGCTAAACAAGTAGGAGAGAGGAGAGAAAAATTTTTTAAAATGACAAATAGTACCTTTGATAAAATCCATAATGAGCATGTCCAATATTTCACAACCTTCGTCACCAAAAACCACAAATGGTTGCAGCCACCACCATAACCACCACTATCAAGGAAAGAGACAATCACCTTTAAATCTCTATATACAATACCATATTTTTACCTTCTCCTTTACCATTCAAAAACCAATCAAGATTAACAAAATCAGGCTTCTAATTATCAAAGAAATCCAAAAACCAAATAATATTTAATATGAAATTTCTTCTAAAATATAATAACCCAAACAAAAAAACCCAGTTCACAAGTCCGATATTGCTACAAAAGATGATCAATTTCAGCCACATTTGCTTACTATCTTCTTTAACACTTAAACCACAAGCAAATGGAAACCCACATTCCAGCTTCAAATCTAAAAGCCCACATGCTAGCAAAATCCCAAATGACGACTGGGTGGATGAAGTCTACAATATTAATCAAGACCCCTTGATGATTTTTTAGCTTGAAACATCTAATACACAGTTTAGTTCTAAAAAGAGCGCTTAAAGTACTAAAGATGTTATATATATATATATATATATATACCAACAGGTTTAGTTCTAAAAAGGAGCCGCTTAAATCAGTACTAAAGATGTTATATATTATATATATATTATATATAATATCTATACTATAATATTATGAAGTCCTACAATATTAATCATAGGACCCCTTTGATGATTTTGTAGCTTGAATCTGAAAATCTATACACAGGGGCTTATAAATTTCAAAAAGAAGCGCTTAAAAGTATTAAAGACTGTTATATATATATTATATATATATATATATATACTATATATGAAGTCTACAATATTAATAGGACCCATTGATAATTTTTAACTTGACATCTAAAACATCTGACACACAGTTTAGTTTTTGCCAAAAGAAACGATTAAAACAGTTAAGGACTGTATTCATTATATATTTACTATATATATATAGCAAGTTAATTTTTGATATATATATATATATATATATATAGCAAGTTAATTTTGTTGGGTATTTAACGAATTTATTTAAAGTCATGTCTTGAATTTTGAGGGTTTGATTCTTCTTGAAGAAAAAAAAAAATGGAGATGATGACAATTCATTGATGGTGTGAGAGATTTTGTTGTAGATGGGCTGAACAAAAATGGGTTTACCAGATGCACTTTAAAACCCAGATGTGTAATTGCAGAGTAACTGCAGAAATAAACATGATGCGTAGTTGCAGAACCAAAGAGGTTTAAGAGACGAACTAGAACGAGAGAGAGAACGTGGATTTAACTTTTGGTGCAATATTTATTTTATTAAGGAGATATTAGTCTTTTATGAGGCATTTAATAGTAACAATCAATAAAATTAAATGAAAAAATTATTTAATACGGCAGAACCAAATTTTAGAGATTAAATAATTAATTAAAAAAAAATACGAACATAAATTTAATTAATTTTGTAAAATATCTAAGGATAAAATAATTATTTTCCCTTTTAAATTTACTTGGGAAAGTCGAATTAGACCAGAAAGCCCCTTCCTCGTTTTCCATTACGTTACATCGCTGCTCCTCCAACCTGTGTAAATTCTCCTCCATTTTTCGGCGACTAAGCGACCAAAATCCAACCAGAGAAGCTGCAAACTCGACGGACTCGGCCTCCTCTCTTTGCTGTTGTCCTTTTTGTGCAATCTGTGGCTTGTCCTTTGTTCGACAGTAGGGAGAAAGTAACGCAGCTTCATATTCGCCTCATCTAGGCGATTAACGGCGGTTTTCTCCGGTGGAGTAGGTGGGAAATTGATAATTTTTAACACTCTTATTTAGTTTATTTTGTTTAAATTTTTGAGTTTTTGATTGAGTACTCGAGTTTTAAACCTAAGGTTGAAATTCATAAATTTTAGGAAATTGATAAAATTATTTACAATTTGAGGAAATTGAAGTTAGAAATGGGTTCTCCAGAAAACCTTGAGCGTTTTGATTATAAGATTATTAAATTTGATGATTGTTGGGTGTTCCGGCTACTGCTATTGACGGTTTGTACTGTAATTATATTTTCCGTTTGTAGCATTGATTTCAGGTTTTGTTAAGTTGTTGTAGTATTGGTAATTATTGTTTCTGTGATCAAATTGTGCCAATGTAGGTGAATTGTGGATTACTTAAAGTTTTGATGATGAAACTGTCATCTTTTCTATAGATTTTATAAGAAGTCGGTCAAGTTTGGATGAAAAGCTGTTAATAATCAGTTAAAGCTACATTTGTTTTCCTTTCTTTTTAATCTTTGGTATTTTGAGAACAAAAGGCAATGACTAATATTTAAAAATGCTGATGTTAAATATCAAACATAACATGCTCCTCTAAATGTAATAGCTGCTATAATTGCACACGATAATATGTCTCTGTTTGATTATTTGTTTGGAGCATTCATTAGAATATACAATATTTCACCCCAACATGTAGAAGTTTATATTTTTCTGCTTAATATATTGAGCAGCATTCAAGTCCGTTAATTATAGCTGTGAAGTTGTAGACTTGTAGCTGATACTTTTTCTGTTGTGTGATACTGATGGGTTCTTGATGAACTTGTGCATTTTTTTCATCACCTTTGTCTTTTTTTCACTTTAGTTTTTTGCATCTTTAATTGTTGGTGTTTAGTTAATCAGACTTATCCATTTTCCGTGCTTTAATCATATATATTCATAACTATTTTGAGACTGCATTTGTCAAAATTCTACTTGGATAAAAACATTTGGAAGAGCATTCGATTCTTATTTTAACTACCTCTTCAATACTTTAAATTCCAATTTACTGCATCTATTTATTTGTGTTTTCTCTTAAAACTAAAACATTTTGCTTACTTGAGAAAACTACATTAAGTACATCTTGTATTGCTTTTGTTAAAAAAATTATTGACTATTGAAGACCGAGGCTAATTTGGATTAACAAAAAAGTCATCAGATCAATTCTTTATGATTTAAGTTTTGTTTCAAGCTATGTTCTATAAAACAATGTCAGAGTTAATTGTCGTTTTTCCTTGTGTGAGTGCAGAATGGGCTTCAAGGTGAACAATTAGGCCTTCCTAGTAGGTGTCTTCAAACATCATCAGCCTTTCAAGGTAACCTCAAATATTAATTAATTTTCATTTTTCCAAATTCAATTCAAAATAGGATCCATAATATCATGTTGTATGCCTTATGTGAATATATGATATTCTAATTTGCTGATTTATGTGAAAATGGGAGAATATCTTGAAGAGAATGAAATTGTATTTATTACTTTTTGTTTTTTTTTCGTTTAGCTTTGCAGAATATGCAAGTATGAACTTTGGTCTTTTTCCTTTTTTTTTTTGAAAAAAAAAAGGAAAAAGACATGCATTTTGTCATTTATTCTCACAAACATATCATTGATTTAATGATGTCTCATATGAAGCTAACAAGTAAAAATAGTGTTGACCCAGATAAGTTTTGCTATTGCTAAAAAAAGCGAAAAGACAACTGCATTTTTGTCATCTTATTATCTCACCAAACATATTCATGATTTAATGATCAGGTCTCATTATTTAGAAGGCTAACCAAGTAAAAAATAGTGTTGACCAGATAAGTTTTGCTTATTGCTACAATGAAAAAAAAAGGAAAAAAGACATTGCATTTTTTCTTTATTCTCACAAAACATACTCATTGATTTACTCGATGTCTCATATGAAGCTAACAAGTAAAATCAGAGTGTTTGACCCACCGATAAGTTGACCCAGATAAGTTTTGCTATTGCTACAACCATTGGTGATGACCCCATTGCAATTGATTTCACAAGAGTAGGAGAGGGTGATGTATGGGTGAATGACCAAAGGATTGGAGGTTATTGACCAAGAATGAGTCTCCAAATATCAATGTAATAGGACTGTACATTTCATATTTGTTAGATGTGAATTTTGTATTTATTAGACATAAATTTTGTATTTGCTTTTACTTTTTATTTTTTTTGACATTTTTGTAATTTATTAAGATATAAAATATATTTATATTTATAAATATATTTGAAGAGTTATATATTATACTATTTATACTATATATATATATATATATTATTATTATCTTTCATTTCCTTGATAATAAAAAATTCAAAAAAACTAATAATGGATGAAAAATAATTTTTCAATAATAATATATTATTTTCATTCCTGATAATAAAAAATTCAAAAAACTAATAATGGATTGGAAAATAATTTCAAAATACTATCAATAAATTTAGAAATGGATTTAGCAATTACTGTAAAAATAAAAACTATTGTTAATGATTTATTATTTGTGGCAAAGAATTTTAATTTTTGGTTAAAGTTTCACAAACTATAGCTAAATGTAAAAAAAATACTTGCTACTTTGTTATATTTGAGGCAAGATATTTTATTATTTAGTTACAAATATAATAGGTATAACTAAATGTGTTTTAATTTTTGTGGCTTATATTTTTTCTATAAAATTTTAATTTCATAGCAAAAGATTTTGATGTTGTAGTCATATTGTAATAAATTGCGTAGCTAGAAGTATTGATTTTCAGCTATGGGAGACTTTAATCTTGTAGCTAACTTTTAACTACTCATTTCTTGCTATGACATGCTAGATGAAAAACCTACTGTGGCAAAAGCATTTACCTACAAAATTTTGCACATTTAGCGACAATATGCCTTGCAGCTGTAAATGCATTATGTTGCAGATATATAAGACCTAAATTTTGCATAATGCGACTCAAGTGAGCCATTCAGCTTTGCAAGAGCATTCTGATTTGCTCAATAGCAAACACCCTTCTTTATTGTCACAACATACTTTTTATTAAGATCCTTTATCATTTTGTCAACAATATAAGCAGGGCCTCTCCTAATCTAGCTTGAGAACTTAGCCTTTGATTTGCTTGCCTATTCATCAAGGACATAAAGTATAGATGCTCTTCCTGATATAATCATATAACCTCATATAACCCAATATTGATTGACTGCCATAAAATCTCCATTTACAATTTTCTATGCTTCTAAATTCGACCTTTCCTTCCTCACTCTTATTCCAAGTCACATTGAAGCCCTTAAGCAATGCATACTTCTTTATAACCATTACAAGTTGTTCTTTGCTACCAAAACTCAACCCAATATCCAACTGCAGCTACTTGTGATCAAATCTAGGATTGTACACATTCTTCTCCTTTTTTTCTTCTTATCTCCTTATCACCCTCTTCACCACTATATGTTGAGGAGAATTCCTTATCTGATTCCTCGTAATCACTAGTAATTGTAGGTACTCAATGTATTGAGTTCCCATTTAAATTACTACAACTTCGTCATCAACATTAAGTGACAATTGTCCCACGTGATTGTCATCATCTAGTCTTGAGCCTCTCCCATGATCAACAATTCTAGTCTTCAATTTTCTTTTATTTTCTCTTGCAATCAAACACTCTTCATCATCCAAGTCATCCTCTGCAATTGAGCTATCGTCACTAATATCAACTACATGCGGATATGAAAATGCCTCCTCCTCAATATCAACCTCAACACAACCTTCTAGAATTGATGCATCAATAGCATTATTGTAATCATAGCAAGGTACTCATTGTATTCATTTGCCCAAACTGAAAAGTCAATGTTTATATCAGTTCCAATCTTCTTATTCCTTTGCACAAATGGCCCTTTAGGAGATGCATCATTATTGACATGCAATGGTTCAAGGGCGAAGCTATACAACAAGCACCAATAATTTTTATTATTAAATAAAAAAGTATAAAATAGCAAGCAATAAGGTCCGAATTAGTGATGCAGGATGTGATAGTAGACTTTCTTATTTCATTATCGATAATACATAAACTATGATCATATTTTGTTTATGGGAAAAAAAAACTAATACATTCTTCTATAAATCGAAATACAACTACTTCATCCTTGCTTTTACAGAAATGCTTTTTGAAGTCCATATCTTTTGAACCGTTAAACTAATAGATCCTTCCATCCACGAAGCTCATTTTTTATTGTTAGTGTCTAGTAAAAATTCATAAATACCCTTATCTTTCTTTCACATTTTCACTTTGTACCAAATCATCGGAACCTCTCTCCTTTGAAAACTTACAAAAACATAGGAAAACAAAACTCCATCATTTTGACTCTAAATTCATTCAATCAAGAGAAAAATAATTAATTCACATCTTAACAAATGGTAAGCCATGAAGGAAATTAAAAATGCAATTTTCTTATCTCTCAATTTTTTTATTTTTGCTTTCTCACAAACCAATCAAACATAACAAAAACAAAACTTTCAACTTCAACCCATAAAAACAAAATTTAGAGAATCCATAAATTCAACCATCTTTTTTAAATCATTAACTCTATCATTCTTAAAACAAGAATCTATTTGAAACCATAAGTATACTCTCCCACTTAGATCGCAACCAAAAACAAGCATATATGTCACGACCCGTTTCCGTGGGCCGGATCGGCACTAGGGCCCAGGTAAGTTTAAGGCCCCTGAGGCCCGTAGTAAGCCTGAAACACTAGAATCTATTATCTCAATATAAAGTTCAACATTCAGCCCATATGACTATGAAAAATAAACCTTAAGATTTTATTATATCTCGACCCAAATTTATCTTCTATAACATTCCATAGTTCGAGCCCAATTGACAATACATCACATTTTTAATATAGGCTCATAGAATTATATCGTCTATGTTAATATACAACTAATTGTATGTAAATTCTACAACTGCGGAGTCACTAACTGTTTGATATACATAGCTTCTTATACATATAGTTACATAGCAAAATAATTATGGAATCGTCTTATGTTCGTCTATGATAATACACGACTAAATGTAAGTAAATTCTACAACTGCAGAGTCACTAACTATTTGGTATACATAGCTTTTTATATATATAATAACATAGTAAAATAATTATGAAATTGGGAAAATTTTCTTATAGCCCTGCGGCAAAGGAGCATAACTTAAACCGAATTAAAGAAAAACTTACTTCCTGAAAAATTAAACAAAATATGTGAGCCTTCTAAGAAGTAATACCTATTGCACAACCCATGCATTCACACAAATGAATAAATATATCAATCTAGTCATCCGACTAGTTATATGCTCACGCAGTCAGTCACACAAATGGCATGTCACCAGCACCCGTCAATCACCATCACTCACTAATCATTAACATCTTCATATATTCACATCACGTGGAAATCTGTCAATGTTGGCGTCACCGAAACCCCCACGGAGTCGTATTCCACAATGGCCCGTACTCTCACCATGGGCCATCCTTCAGGGACATGTGCACCCGGGGAAGCAAATCCCCCATTTACCTTGGCCCGACGGGTCTAATCCTTCAAAACACGACCAGTCCTTCTCATTTGATTTTTACACTCTCTCTCTTTTCTTTTCCACACCAACAGGAGGCAACCCGGTGGTCTCCATCCAATCTAGATCATCAGGCGCACACAACAGGAGGCCACCCTGCGGACTGCGATTAAATCTAGATTATTAGGTGTGCAACAACAAGAAGCCATCCTGTGGTTTTCCATATCATCCATATCATAATGTTAGGTGCAAACGGGAGCGCCGATCTCCCATTTACCCGGCTAACGGTAATCATAATCGGGATCCATATAACGGTAACGGTAATCATAATCAGGATCCATATAACGATAACAGTCTCATAAACCCATGGTGACCCACTTCATCCCAATTCCACACAAACATGGCAAAACATTGTCACATCACAACTAATCGAGCATTTCAATTAAATGTAGACATATTGATCAATTAAACATCGTTAGACATATTTGATCATTAAACATCGAAATGCAATGCAAATTAGCATCCATACTCAAATGCAAAAATAAATAAATAAATAGTTTATTAACAACAATCAACCAATAATAAAAATAATAATAGAATAAACAATAATTAAGAAAATAAATAATTGAATAATTAAACATAATTGAATAATTAAATGAATAATAATAAAATAATTAGAGAATTTTATTTATTATGTATCAAGTTAAAGGATCCATCTGAATAAACCTATTAATCATGTTATCAATTAAGACTAGTCTAGGTTATATCGAAATTTCGACAAAACCTCCCCTAAAAATAGAACTATCTACCTGTTTAGATATCACAATATTATTATATGTTTATCAATCAATACACACAGCCCATCTGTCGGGCATCTCACAGCAACACATCCCGTCCTCCAGAACCATATTTATCAATCATTTGATTACTCAATTCACATAGCCCATTCAACGGGCAGTCGATTCAACCAACCCATTCGCTTTAGGCTACATCATCATCCATCCACACACATATGCACTTAATAACTCCCGACCAACAAATTAATAAGTCATAATAGCCTTAGATTTTAATTTTCCCCTAATAATATTTTAACAAAATTCCTAGTTAACCAACGAAAACATTAGCTAAGAATTTCCATTTCAGCAACAAATCTTCTAATTATAACTAATATTCATGAGATGTGATTAGAAGCATCATTCAAAATTAATTACTTCTAACAATATGCCCCTAAATAATTTTTAACTAGAATTATATCTAGCTAATTATTTGTTAGAATTCAATTTATTCAACTGTAAATTTTAGATTTGGAATTTGTGCTGAAAATAAGAGAATAGGTCTTAGGACATACTGATTGAGAATTGGACTACAATTCCACGATCTGCGCGAAAAGGAGCCCATTCTGTCTCTTGGGGCATCACCGGAGTGTCGCTGGCAGGTCGCCGGACCACGGCCACCGGCAGCCGTACACGGTGGCCGAATGTCGAACTTCACCGGAATCAGGCGATTCATACACCATTAGACTCGATTTTCCATCAGGAGTCCAATTCTGGCGTCAGTTGCGTGAGATCGGCCCCCTAGCTGGCCGAAACAGGCTCAACAGTAGCCTTATGCGTGTAAACAGCGCTGTCCCTCGAAACGCAGGAATCGCAGTTCGCCTGCGCAGCAGCAATCGCCGGAATCACTGGCGGAGAGGAGACGCA